TCCCCATCCATATTTTTTTATATTTGTTTTTATCAGAGTAACATATGCACATAGTTTACAGTCAAATAATTGTACCTGGCTTATTTAAAACTAACAAAACAAAATGCAGACCCCTGGCCCAAAACAACTCTTTAGCTGTACCTGTTCTGGTATCTATCTCCATATCACATTATCTATTGATTACAGAACTTACACACTTACAGCTTTCCCTCTGTATAACTCTCCCAATATATTTATACGTAATTTTGAATAAATCAATATTTAATGTCAACATTATTATGATTGTATTTGCTACTACAGCCACAATTCTTGTGGGTTCCAGGAACCTTACTCCTTTGCTTTGCCCCTTCAGGCCCCGGGCTGGTGGTGATGGCTTATCACTGCTGCCATTCCCTGGGTGCTTGCTTTAGCAACCCTTGCTGCTCCCTTTAACCCTTCCCACACCTCTGTAATAAGCCCTTTATCAATCTCTCTTTAGCAGTCCTTTGAGTGTGCCATCTGTTTCCTGCTGAGACCCTGACTCATGAGGAATTTTACCAACGATATATCGTATTCTAGAAAAGTTTACTAGTTCTAAGGTCTTCACGTAAAAAAGGCTCCTTTCTGCTAGCTTCTAAAACAAAACAGCTTTGAATATACTTTGAGCTATAACAAAGTTATTTAGTAAAAAACACTGTTTATTTTACTACTGCTCTTAATACTCACCTTATAATTAGGTCGAATATTTGCAAAATATATAAAGGAATCAACAGCTAGTGCAATTTTCAGTCCACCTCCCTCCCAAGACAGTCCAGACATTTGCTTTCCAGGAACTTTCAAAGTACCCAGATGCTGAAAAAAAAATTGCATTTAACCTAAAATACCTATTAACTCAAATACAAATTAGCACTAATCACAGAGATCAAAAGTGATACGAAAATTATTTTGTGAAAGGTTCCTACTTATTTTAAAATCATTTTTCTTGAATTTTTATAATGAAAAGCATGCATATGATAAGAGAAAGTTACAAACTATATCCAAAAAATTCAATATCAAATTTCATCAAATTTAAGATGGCATAGATGAAAATATGCATCTTTATTTTTATCTACAACTAAGGAAAGAAAAAACACACTGCTAATCAAAATATGACAACTTTGATTATAAGATGTACTCCAATTTTAGAGTTGTAAAAAATTATACTTTAGAATCAATGAAATATTGTATTATTAATAGTAAACTCAACCCTGATGTCTTGCCTTTCTCTTCCACCCCCCACAACCAACCAGCCACCAAGTCCTGTTGCTTTTCCTCCTTTCTACTCTCCACAATTACCTTTTTACATTTTTTTTAGAGATGGGGGTCTCACTATGTTGCCCAGGTGGGAGTGCAGGGGCTATTCACAGGCATTATCCCACTACTGATTGGCACAGGAGTTTCACCTGCTCTGTTTCCAATCTGGGCTGGCTCACCCCTCCTTAGGCAACCTGGTGGTCCCCCACTCCCAGGAGGTCACCATATTGATGCCAAACTTAGTGTAGACACCTGATTGGCATAGTGTGCTACAGCCCAGAACTCCTGGGCTCAAGCGATCCTCCTGCCTCAGCCTCTAGAGTGGCTGGGACTACAGGCCCATGCCACCACACCTGACAATTACCTTTTTTCTTGACTGAACTATAGCATTAGCATCCTAACTTCAATTCTTACCTTTCATCTCTTCTCTTATTCCCACCCTCTACTCATGCCCCCAGTTCAGTCTCTACTACACTGTCACAATTAACTTTCTGGAACACAAATCTGATCATATCTTACCTTGCTTTAAGAAAAAGTTAAATAATTTTTTAAAAATCAATAGCTCCCCCCACCATCACATCCTTTAGCATAGCACACAATGCCTTTTTCCCAGCTGGCCCAAAACTACATTCTTCGGCTTAATTGCCCACTATTTAGCCATAATTACTATGTGCCGGCTCATGAAGGAACCACTGTGCCTCCATACCTTTGACCCATACAATATCCCTGCTGCCTAAACCTCCTCTCCTTTCCTCCGCATCTCCTCTGTCCTCACTGGTCCTTGTCCTCCTGGACCTCCATCCTTTAGAATACAACTCAAATATTGCTTCCCTAATGAGTCCTGCCTTCCTCCTTCCCTCTACAGTTCCGGAGAATTAGATTAGACAGTGAGCTTCTTCAGAGCACTAACTGCATATATTTACATTTATTTCCCCATCCTGTAATAGATTACTTGGTAAACAGGTATTCAACAAATATCTGTTAAGTAAATAAATGTACTGTACATTGAAATTCATTTCTTCATATACTAACACACTACATTTTATTACTGAATTAATCAGTAAATAAATGAATAAATACTTTTTTAATGTAGCCATAAAAAGATAAACATTTTTAATCTACACATGTCATTTGACAGAACAGTATAATCCAAAGAATTTCAATAAACTGTACTAGGATCCTTTGTTCTTAAGTAGATATGCTCTAAAGTCAAATTAAATGTTGCTATGGTTTGAATGTTCATCCCCTCCAAAATTCATGTTGAAATTTAATTGCCATTGTAATAGTATTAAGAGGTAGAACATTTAAGAGGTGATTAGATGGGATTCCTGCCATTATAAAAGGGCAAGTTCAGTCCCCTCTTGTCTCTCTATTGTCCTCTCTTTGCCCTTCTACCTTCCACCACGTGATGACACAGCAAGAAGGCCTTCACCAGATGCCAGAGCCTTGATATTGGACTTCTCAGCCTCTAGAACTGTGAGCCAATAAATTTCTGTTCATTATAAATTATCCAGTCTGTGCTATTATTGCAGCACATAACAGACTAATACAAATGTATTAAACTCCATTTAGCCAGGGAAACCAATGGGAAAAAAAAACAAAAAGTTTTAACCTAACATGGTCCAATCTGTCTTACTGCCTATGTAAGATCAAAGGGGAATAAGTAAGCTCTCACAACAGTAGTCTTGGAACTAACCCATCCACAGTGGGAAGAGAATAAGGCCATCTCCTAACTGCAAACCACCCAGGTGGTGGCAGCAGCAAGGAAAGAAAACCGACTTTCAGTAGGCATCCACTAAGTGCCAGGCACTGCGGTAGGCATTTCCTCATTGTTATGTCCTCTAATCTGCACCACGGTACCATGAGGTATTACTTTCACTTCCGAAAATAAGTAAACGCAATCTCAGGGGTTAAATAACTTCCCTGAGTCAAACTACACTGTGGAAATGGAGTTCAAAGCCAGGTGAACCTGACTATAAATCCATGCTCTGTTATCCCCTACCCTGGCTAAGACCACAGTGCAAAAACCAGGAGATCTCAGCCCTCAGAATCAAAAGCACATTCTTCCCTGAGGTTTTCTTCAGTTTAAATCTTTATATAATTCCCTTCCAAATTATCTACCTGGTTTAACATAACATAGATACAAAATACAAAAAAACAAAAATAAATTCCCCAAATATTCACTCACTCAAACAATATTAAGTGGCTAATATGCCCCGAAAAACTGTGCTAGATACTTTTAATTATAGCTGGACCAAAACCCACTTACAGTTTTCAGTTTAACACTTAACACACTGTTTTGCAAGATACAACAAATAGGCTTTAGAACTCATGTTTTTCTACTTGGAGAAGGCCAAACTAATGAAAATAATCAAATAAAGCAACATAACGATAAGTAAGCCAATGGTGACCAACAAAAATAACCAATAAAGAACATGAATCAAAAAGGAGGCTATAAACATAAAAATAAATAGAATTCATATTTTTAA